TGATATATATATATATAGAGATAGAGATCATATAGATGTTATGAGACCAAGTGCACGGCCGAAGCAAGGACGCCCACCAAAAAGCAAACGTATTCGATCCAATGTAATCCCATGGAACATGATGCGCCATTTTGCATATGGCCTCTGTCGATCACATAAGAATGTAACGTGATGTTGCGTGTTTGCATATCATCATATGAGGCCGGTTCCACAGCCCCAACAGAACTTGACACATCTTGACACTCATAAGCATTAAAACCACAAGCTGCACTGCACAAAGCTGAGATAAAACCCAGAAGTTGGAGAATCTATGCAGCCCGCAAAGGGAAATGTTAGGGATTTGGATTCGGATGCTCGCATTTATTGCGTCTTCAAACATGACTCCATTCTTCACAATGTTCCACAACAATGCTGGTCTGAGCACTCGGCCTCATGTCCAATCCAAGACCAAATCCCTTCATGCGTGAAGACACTGACCCTCGACTTTCACATCCCCCCGGTCCCATCCAAACAAAGCATCCTCTGGAGCAAACGCAAAGACCCCTCGGCGATACCCAAAGCTTGGGACTTGGCCGGGGAAATGCCATGTGCTGCCGAACCAGCTGTACTGTTACAACATGGGAATGCATTGAAATGTGGAGACCTCCCAGTTCGACCCCCTGGAAGGTTCGGGAAATAGACCAAACCGGACCAGGGGGGTCTCCCACATTAATGCAAAGACTGGATTATTAAACCTACCCCCCACATAGAAGGTCTATAGGTTTAATTCATCCGATGTTTGCATGATACACTCCCAACTCCCCACCTACCGGCCTTTTTGTCCCAAAGCTCCAACCTCCTCCGAAGGACTCCGTGAGATCCCCGGCCCCTCTTGGACTCCTTGGAGGTGAGATCAGCTTGGACACTCCGGGCCTCGGACCACCGAACCGCCCAGCCGGTGCGGACGAACGGCCCGGCCAGGACTTTGCGGCGGAAGTCTACTCTATCTGTGGCATGGCCCCTGCATCCTCCACGAGCAGATGGTTTTCCACTTCCATTGCAGTTCCAGGGACTGATAAAAACACTCTGTTCATCGTCGGATCGTCGGAGAACGCGATGGCCCCGCACTCCCTGCCGCATGACAAATGTCACCCTTTTCCGGATCCCGGAGCAATTCGTGAAAGGAGGCACTTTGCCTTCCACGTGTGAATCGCCATGTCAGGGAATGAGTTCCGCTGGGCGTGTGTGTGTGTGCTCACCTAGCTACACGCCGCCCCTCACCCGCTACACGCCATGCTTCACCACTGCTGTCCGTTTGCTGACTGGGGGCTCGGACCCGTTACCAGGCGTCGCGGCCAAGGAGGCTCGAGAGGCCTGGCGAAAGAAAGAGCGGTGCCCAAAGATGAGACATCCAATGGCAGTCTTCGATGAAGGTGATGATCCTCATAGGGACAGGATTATCCTATGATCGGATTGGATACTGCAAGCCGAATTTAGTCTATTATAATATTACATGTAATCTATATATGACCTGTCAGTGGACACTAATTGTACTATTGAACAGGGGTCCTTGTGTCGCTCAATCTCTCTCTCTCTCATATTCGAGTCTGGCTGTCAGCCGGCTTAGGGCAAGACACTCGGCCACCAACCCAGCTACAGTCTGCACAAAAAAAGGGCGATAAGAAAAGCCTCTGGCTGCGTGCAATCAAAAAGACTTTGGCATACCGGTATACAGTAATTTGATCAATCATTTGCAGTCCCTAGCGATCCTGGGCTCGCCGATCCCGGATCAAACAAAAGGGGCTTGTGGCATTTCATAGCAATTCAAATTAATGGAAACGACCACGGCAGCCCACCTGAACCAAATCTGGCTCAAGCATGTGTACTGGCTGAGGGGGGAAGGTCAGGCGCGATTCTGGAGGTAGATATTCAATGATGTTTGAACATATTTGGTCTTTGCAAGTAGCTCACCTGCAGGGGCACCTATAGGGGTCTCTTGATGTAGCAAACGAAAAGTGTTCGCTTAGGTGAGAACATCCTGCAATCCTCCTTCTTGCAAATATATGCCGCATGCTTCTGCGCCGATTCTGCGCAAGAGCACCATCAAACCCCCTAAGTTCAACAGGACCCTGTTCTTCACCATGTCGTCTTGCTGCGCTCCCTTCACTGTGTCTTGGAAGTTTCTGCGTGGTATTTCAGACGCGCTAATATCCTTCCTCAAAGGCTGGTTCGTGGTACCTGGTAGACGTAGGCTGTGGTCACATTAAGCGTTTAGTCACACATGCTCCTGCTCCTGAACAAAAGATCCACCCATCCCGCACGGAAACACCGCAATTGCAAAGTATTCAAAAATACAGAAGTTGCTCGTCTTTTCAACAGTTTGCATCCTGCTGCGGGCACCTTCTCCACCTACATGCTGCAATTGTTTTACTCTGTACGCCAAATACGTGTGCGTGTCGATGCATATAGCAAAAACAAAATAATATGTGTGCATATATAAATATATATTATACATTATTATACATCCTTTTTGGGGCTCGGTGCAGGCTGAGATCAACTATCCAAAACGATAATCACCATACGTACGGAAACCATACTATACAAATTCTGGTGTGCTCTAGCAGCTACATCCTGTGTGCTGTGTCTTAATTGATCGAATCTCAAGAGATATCTGCCACATCCATCTCTCGACGCAAGTGGCGTCGAAAGACCGGTGGCCTTCCAGTTCTCGCTGGTGAGCGGCACTGCCTCACTCACACGTCCAGGAAGACCCACCTCGGGGTCTGGCGAGTGGGCGCGGCAAGGCGTGGCATTTGAAGCAGATTGAAGCAGTCGAAATGCTCAAAAAGGCGGAAGGAATGGGTAGAGGTAGATGAACTTGGACCTTCCTGAGAAGTGAGCATATATATATAGAGAGAGAGAGAAACATAAAAATCGGTTGTCGAACAAACTTCCGGGTCCCGTACTTTCCAGCATCGCAAATCCTTGAGGTCTGAGGCAACTGCAGAGGGCAAGGTGGAATTCAACCTCATGGGCCTCAGAGTTCAGGTTTCTTCCCACGAGAGGGCATGGAACGAGCCCAACTTTTCTCCAGTCAAGTTTCTATGAGGGGCCTTTGAGGGGTGTGGGATGGCCATGCGGTTGGACTGTGGCTCCTTACCATGTCATGGCATTCTTGTTAGATGTGACATCCATGGACACCCATGGAGAATTCAGCACCAGGTTTTGCTCGTGAAATCGATCTCGCTGCGAAAACAAAACGCTCTGGACGAACACATCACATGGACACATGGAACTGGAAAATGGATGAACTGAACAAGGGGTCCCTTGGAAAACCATTTTCCAAAAAACAAGGGAACCACGGGGAACCTTATAACCCCCGTTTCATGTGATGTGTTCATTCAGAGTTTCATAGATCATAGACCATAACTGATCATACACATACCATCCATGTATGGAATAGTTACCAAAACAGTATTGGGAATTTAAATCGTGTAAATGTATGTAACTATTCCAGTCCCATGGACGGTCTGGGATAGATGACCATGGTGGACTTTTTTGGATCTTCCAACATGGTCCGCCCAGCCACTCCACCGTGAGACCTGCCGGTGGAGTCAAGCCCAGCCTCGGAGCAACCCCGACGGAGCGAAGGAATGGAACTGAAAAAAGGGGACTGGATGTCATCATAATATAATGATCATATTATCGGTCAACCTGTAGACTCGTGTTTCAGGAACCATGGCACCGATCTGCACGCATCTGCACGCAGTGAAACAATTGCAACTCCTCAGGATTATTTTCAGGTGTGGTCGATACTTGCCAGGCCAATGTATGGAACATGTCAATGACGTGCTCGGACTCGCCCCATGATTGGTCGATACTTACCATGCCCCAAAAACCTGGGGGTCTGTACGATACTTGCAGACTTATACTTAGAACTTTTGCGTTTGTGAACAAATACATGGTTTTTCCAAAATATCTCACACCTTGGACCTGGCGTAGCTTCGAACAGCGACCTGCTGAGACGAACTGAGACCTCCACCCGCCCAGGCTGGTGCCCTGCATAGGGCTTGGCAGCGTAGGGCTTGGCAGCGTGGCACTTGGCGGCGTTGCGCTTGGCAGCGTGGCGCTTGGTGGCGTTGTGTGGTTTGCAGTGGGGTCGATCCTGGAGCAGCGTGGAAGCAAAAGAAACACAGTGCCTGCGCCAAACACTCCAAGCAGAAATGTCTGTTTATTTGTATTTTTTCTCCTCCCAGCTCAAGCTGAAGCTATGTCAGCACGAACCCACCTGTTCACTAGCATTGATATTTACGAGATGCACTTTCACTCCAAAATATGTTGACTTAAAAGCATCGGACCGCTTTGGCACTCTGTTATGTTGACTGCAACTGATATTGGTCACATAGTTCGAGATTTCATGGTCTCTCGTCTCTCGGTATTTGATGCTGGTCGACAACACTCGGAGCACAAGCTTCATTTTTGGAGTGGTGTCCATATGTGTATGCAAATAAACATACCTATACAAATGTGTATAAGTATATATGTACAAATAAAAACTCTTAAAAACTGTATAATATTATATATATATGTGGTCACCCAATCAATGAAGTTCTAACTGCCAAATCAGGGAAGAAAACACTTCATGCTGAGAGCTCTCAGGCCTTTTGACGCTTTCTTTTCTGGTACTTCAGTCTTGCACTCTCTTGAGTGGGGCATGCACGGCAAGGATCGTCAGCATTGCTTCAAATCATGCATTCCAAACAGCCAAACCGATGTGGCACAGCCTTGCAAATTGAAGGGTGTGCCCGAGACCTGCTGAACGAGGGCGGGTGAGATGAACAGAACGAGCTACCGGCCATTTGCCAACTTTGGATCCTGAAGGTCTCAAAACTAAGGGACAACCTTCCGCAAAACGAGTCAACATAATTATAGAATTACCATGAATTACATATATGGGCAACAATTCGATCCATCATACTATGCTTATCTATGCTCAAGTGATTTTGGTGTGTTACAGTGATGTCTTCTTCACTGTCCCTTTTTGAGATCACCATAACGGCCCTGGGTCCCGAGGGTCTTCACTGTACATGCTCCTCGGGCCGCATGACCTTCACCGCACCATGACCACCGACTCCAGCAACCTGGGCGTTTGCGAGCGACCGCAGGGACGTTGGATTGAATCCACGGGACAGCCAAAAAAGGCACACACCACCGCTTTCAAGCGTCACACTGAAGTGGCCAAACCAAGCAACTGCTGAACTTTCTGATCGTTCTTGGAGATCCTGGACCTGCTATTCCGGATCTTCGACCTCCTTGGCTGGACTGGGCGGCTGTTGCGAAGGCTGGTTTTGCCTCTCTGAGACAGGTTTTTTTGGCTTCGAAAGCTACCCTCCATCCGGAAAGAGACGTCTTGCAAACAAAGGAATCAGAAACAGTTTTCTGGGGGCCAACAATGTGAAGCGATTTGCAAAACATGGAATCATGGCACCCTTCGTTTCTTGGAGCTTGATACAGGAAACGCTCTCATCTGGTGGGGATCAAAAAGAATGGAGATTACCGAATAGTCTCAAGCTAAGGATTGATATAGGCCGGGCTATCAAAAAGAAAATAAAGTTTGATCAAAAAGCAAGTTTAAGTATCTTATCCAAAGGAAAAATTAAGCTATATCAAAATAACTGTCCCTTCACAAAGAGCTGCGCCTGCCACTGCGAACCGCTTTGGCAGGGCTGCGCGATGTGGATCTTGATGTGCAGATTTCGTGGCAGGCGCAACACTTTGAGTGCCTTCAGTTGCAGATTTCATGGCAGGCACGGCACTTTGTGCACTCGAAGTGCAGATTTCCTGGCAGGCGCGGCACTTTGTGCACTGGAAGTGCAGATTTCGTGGCAGGCGCAGCGCTTCGTGAACCTCGAAGTGCAAATTTCGTGGCAGGCGCGCGAAGTGCAGATTGGGTGGCAGGCGTAACATTTCTGTGGATCTCAAGCAGGAGATTTCCAAATCACCCTTAACGCGTCTTGCCTCAAAAGTACAGACCCAAGGACCAAAAGGACCAAGGGACCAAAGGACCAGGACAAAGGGAGGAATATATAATTATGTTATTTTGATATGAGTTTTTGTTGGTAGGAATCAATTGAGCCATGCTGAAAACCTTGATAGATTCCTATGTCGTAAGAACTGCCTTACGCGAAAACTTACGCGGCGCTTACGCGACCGCAGTTTCAGCTTACGCGGGGGTGTTGCTTACGCCGCTGCTTACGCCACCCTACGCCATTGCAGGCTTTGCTTACGCAGCATCGATATGACATAACCTGGAAATGTCTGGCTTACGCCAAAGCTTACGCAGAGCTTACGCGACCGCAGTTTTAGCTTACGCGGGGGGAGGTTTTCAGCGTGGCTCAATTGTTTTATTGATATATATGTTTTTCTTTTTGATAGGTACCCCATTGATATATCAATGGTGAATGCTCCTTTGAAAGTAAAATACATAACGATTAACGAAGCATTGGTGCCCAAAAATGTTTCGATCGAACAAGGAGGCTGCTCAACCGGTCTCGGGGCAAGTCTCTGTTCCGCAATCTTGTCATCCAGCTCTGCTATCTGTTGATAGAGAGGTTGTAGCTGATCCTCACAGGCACTTCAGCCCGAAAACGGGAGCAGGAACGGAGAATGCTCCAATATGCTCCATCTTATTGATACTTAGGAGGACATGTAATTAGCAGGATTTTAGCTTTAAATTAAGCTGTTGGGGGCTGGGTCTGCAACGGTGTTGAACCACCCTTGGCCCCCTGGTCCTCGGTCATCTTCAGCTGCCTGGTGTAAGCGTCGCTGGCCTCGATCAAATGCAGCTGCTTCGAGTGACCCCGGAGTTCATCACTATGGCAATCCAGTGGAAAAACACAAAACAACTCACCCATGAGGCTGGACCCTCAGGAACCACCCGCACATCTCAATGGTTATACCATGTAATACATTATCAATCCTTATCATCAGCGTTGATGGTTGCCAAATCTTTCACACAATGAGGGTCCAACTTGCGTGGCGAACCTCAGATTCTTTCTCTTGACCAATCTTTAAGTAATGTGTCCCTTTGCCAGGCTGTCTTGCAGCTTGAAAGCTTAACCTTCCAAATCTGGGCCCAAATCTCAAGCCAGTGTCCTCCATCGTCTAGAAAAAGCCGTAGCCGCGATTTTTGGGGCACCCATCCAACTCATAAGTCTGAGGGTTGCTCGGAGGTCCCTTTTTTCGCACCAACAATGCAAAACAATACACACCCACTCCTGGGAAGAGGCCCATATGGAAGCTGGATCTGTAAGGAAGACTAGCTTCCTCAGAATGAGTGGTTTGGAGGTTCCATATCGTGACAATGGTCTCTGGAGGGTCTGCTCCTACCTGCGGGATCCTGGAATGGTCTGGAATGTAGATGAACAAATATATAGACCGACCGACTCGCATGTTCAAGTCCAAGTCCAACAAGTGGATAGGTCCCAGTACATCGGTGAAATGAACACTGTTCAATAGCAACAAGAAGCTACTAGGGGCTCCTGGCCATGCTACTAGGGCAAGGACGCTACTAGTACTAGGGGCTCCTGGGCATCGCTACTAGGAGCATTCTTACTACCAGTAAATGATAGTAAATGTATATATTATATAAACATCAGGTCTCAGAGTCTCTAGCATGACACCCAAACCATCTCCACTCGCGTTCGTCGATTCCACTCGCCTCGCGATAGGCCTGCTTCCAATGGTCCAACTCTTTGCCCATGTTGGCGATATCCTCGCGAGATGGATGGATGACATGGGAAATTGATTACAATACAGCAGAAATGACAACGACCCTTGAACCGCCTTGGGCGTACTTTCTAGGACCTATAGGATTCCTACTTTATTCAATGCCTTGATTCCTGACAGTGTTCCAAAGATGGATAGGATGGATGGGGCCTCCTACAAACATTTGGTTAAATAATGGACCAATTGATGCAACATTACAATACCGCATTCTCAGTGTCAGGCGGGAATAGGGTTTAGTTTAGTCAGTTTAGTCTACCAACGGCATCACCACAAACATGGTGTTCATTGAGTTCATTTTATGGTTTCCTTTCGACACTGGCATGCAGGAGATCCCAGGCCAATGGCTTAAATGCTAGAGACCCCTCTCTGCAAGCATCAACCAACCCTGTGGATCCTTGTGGAGGGTCTCAAAACATTCGGATCGGATGCCTGGCTTACGAACCTGCCAGTCGCTGGAACACCTCGTCCAGCACACGGCATCTGTGCTGTCCTTTCTTCCCTGTTCCACCCGTTGGGTTCCACCCGTTCCACCCGTTCCACCCCCCGCCTGGTGCACCAAGTCAATCGACTTGCCCAGGGGGTTGGCTGCTTGACACAAGCTCCTGTCGATCCACTTCTTCCGAGGCGGGAAGCAGCGGCGGCTAAGCCGCTGAACCGGAAGGTCCCCAAGCGCGGTGTGCTTTGTTTGGCAAACATGGATGTCATTATTATCAATATATTGGGTTATTTATTTCTATTGTCCATCCTATGAATATCTTATGTACCGTATATCTTCATATACCTGGAACTTCATCTTTTTATTTGCGGTGTGAAAAACTTATTTTAGAGTCACAGCCTGATATTTGAGTCTGCGGACCGTTTCTCTAGTTTTCTGTGTTTATCTCATATTCGTTTATACACAAGCCATGGGCGTTTATTGGTGAGCCACGTGCGTTTTTCCGGAACGCGTTTTTCAATTGTTTATGTGGGTCACAGACCTAAAGGTATGTTGCACTGCCCCTTCCCCCAAAAAAAAAGAGTCACCACGAGGTTGCAGGTACTGTATATTCCGGTGATGATGGATGCTCGATGGTGCTCGTGTTGCTTTAGTGCCAAGTGGCCGTGGGATGGATGCAAAGAGATCAGTCCTAATGCCTATTAAAGACATGTTGCTGCGGCCAGACCTCTACCCGATGTCATAGCAATTGGGTTCCGGTGGCTTGCGACAACCAGCGAATCTGACGAGGCGCTGGATGTTCTCGCCCAGCTTCACCGGGTCTACCTGGCCGGTGAAAGAGGTGAAGGGTGGTAGTACGATGGCACCAGGGGCAACCAAAATTCAGCAGGGTGGCAGTACGGTGGTCACCGACCCAAGCCAAATGTTGAAAGAAATCTTGTTTTGATGGTTTGGGCGCCCGTGGCACCAAAGGGAAAGTGGGCTCTTTCTTGGGGGGTCGATGACGACCAGAGGACCCCAAAACCGCGTTGAACCTGCGCCGGCTGGCCATCGCAATCCTTAAACGACTTGAGACGGTAGGCCGGCGACCGTGAAACAGCCAGAGAGGTCTCTGCTTTGGAGTGGCACCCGCCTCGGCCAGGCTACTGCCTGTGTCCTTCTTTCTTCGGAGCTTCATCTTGATGCCCTTGCCGTCGTCAAACTCCTCGCAGCGGATGCCCTTGCCATCGAACCGGGGCGCTGAGAGATGACAAGACCCGTCAATTGGTGGACACAAACTGCAGCACAGAAAGGAACACTTTCCTGGGCGCTGTTTGGTTACAGGTTAGTATTGCATGGCGGTTATGTCAAGCTTGCTTGCGCGCTTGACCAGCGAATCGTTGGACTTCGCTTTGATGTGATGTTTGAAGCACAGTGAAAATTAGCATTGGATGAATTGCACCAATTCGCAAACCCATTCTCTCAGTCGTATGATTTCGCTTCTTCCTCGCGAATCCCACTCCTCTCTCGTCTCTTCCTCCTCCTTCTTCAACCTCTCACGGTCTCGGTTTTCACGCTCCTCCTCCCTCTTCTTCTCCGCCAACAAGTCACTCACCAGCGCCCCATGCTGGCCCCCATCATCCACAGGAGGGGGTGGAGGAGGTGGTGCCCCTGGCTGCACGCCACCCGTCTCGAACATATCCTCCTGGCCAGCGGGTCGTGGCAATCCGAATTGAAGACCACCACCCCATACACTCCATGGGACTGCCATATATGCCGCCCCAATTGACCCCCAAACCACCACCACCCCAAGCGTCTGATCGGCCACTATATACCAATCCCATGGAGCATCTGGGCCATGGCACTGGAGGTATGGGATTCCGCACACCGGACGTCTCGTCCCCACACGGCCGAAGTGGTCACCTGAAGAGCTGCCTGCACCAAGCACAGCAAGCTCAACAAGGTTAGCACCTGAGCGGTCCTGGCAGGTTTATTATGGTTTATTGTTGGCTTGACTTGATGAAGTGATCGTTGGCCTGAACTTCACTCCCCACACAAACACACATATACACAGGATTCCTATCCCAATGCATCGAATCGAACCCAAGCCCCATTCATTAGAAGTCCCAACCCTAGGTAAAATTGTGAGTCTCCCAGACAGAAGTCCTCCGGCAACATCCTTTGAGCCTGCTAAATCACGGGTAAATCATGGGACCCACCAGTCGGATGGAGATTTTGAGAGGAATCTTATAAAGTCACCTAAGCCTATTATAGCACTCTTCAGGGGCTTCTGAAAATTGCAATACAGATTGTATAGCTGCTAGCTTGTTCATAGCATCTGTCCAAATCCTTCGATATGAATCGATTGAGCTCGGCAGGCATGAAGCGATGCCGTTGCGTATGAATGTAGCCTTGCACATTCCTTTCTGACGCATGGGTCCCACTCCAACCCACCCCAGCCAGTCGAAGAATCACGGCCAGGGCCACCTGATCATCGTCCCCTTGCGTCCCTTCGGCAATGACCACTGGTGCTGCCACGTTGGACGGCGCCGTGGACTGTTCGGTGGTCGTGACCTTCGACGTGACCTTCGGCGGCTTCCGCCCTGGCCGGCGCGTTGAACACGGGAGTGCAGCAAGGAACACCCACCCACGCTCCCTCAACGAAATGTGGGCGTGGGACATCCCGAAGCCTCTTCCAACCAAATGTCAGTTGCTATATATTTGACGAACCGAAACGACATGGGTAGGATTGAGGCTGTTGACACCGGCAAATGTTCCCAGGACAAGCCACTGACGTGACTTGAGCAAAAAACATGCCAACACGATGAATGTTTCTGACCACGATGTGGTCACTCTACACCGCTTGCGCAGCTTGGTGTCAAAATAGAGGAGGACTCACAAAAACTCTGGAGTAATGATCAAGAATCAAGACCAGATTATTGCCTGCCTTCTATAGCTCATGAAGCATCCATGGAGTGTGCGGTTGCATTTTTTCCGGCCATTCAGTGGTTTGCCTTGCCTCGAATCTCTTTGGATTCGATCTCGAAAATGCTGTTTCGTGGCTGAAAACGGGCAGTCATTTTCGCACCAAAAAGCGCCGTCATCGGTGATGAGGACAGCGCAGTCACACTTGTTATTGGCGGATTTCGCTCCCCTGGACCCCTGCAGTGGAACACCAAAATCGCTGATCTGAACACAAAAGGAGAGTTCATGTGGCAAAACTTGGGAAGCTTCGCGGTTTCAACTTACTTGAAAAATGTTAGTCAGTGGACTAGTAAAATATGGTTGAATATTAAAGGGACATGTCTGAAACCACCACCACCCAGTATCTTAGCTAACAGAAGTCCTTTCCCAGCCGTTTCACAGCCGCGCTGGAGGCCTGATTGGGCGAGGCCTAGTATTTGGTGATACGTGTTGCAAGCACACACGTCGGTGGGCTTCAGGTTAGATTTCAAGCCTTTACACAGGGCGGCCAGTTGATCATAATTGAGCAGAAAACAACACAACAAAAGGAAAGCAACGTTCTTGTCTGCTTCAAAACCCTTGTGAGCCCTAGTTCTTGTTGGGGTCATCGGTAATCTGCCTTCAATTACTAGAGGCCACCCTGCCACTTCGGTCTCCTTGAGAGTCGCATGTCAATGGCTCCCCCCTTCCCCCGTGGCCGGAGCTGTTCCTGCGGCCGCCGTCCTCCGGCCTTGGGCAGGGCGGCTCCACCAGCCGTGGCTTTGAAAGGTGGAGCTGCACGTGCGGCTCGAATCGCTGCTCTGAAAGATTGGCTCTCTTGCCGCCAATGTGGATTTAGTGGCTGCGATGCGGTGCTACCCAGACACCGAGACCGTGCAAGACCACGAGTCGTCCTGCCAGCCACCGCAGAAACGGCACTGCCGACCACCCGGCCCTCCGAGCCGCCCTCCATGAAGACGCGCTGCTTCTGGGCCTGGAAGATAGGCCGTTTCTTGCGGAGTTTGAGGCAAACTGACTGATGTTTGGCAATGCGGTCCATGTTGAAGGTGCGCCCGCATACTTGACAGGGCACCAAGGCCGCGGTTTCAGTGAGGCCAGCATAGCTGGTGCAGCCAGTGGTTTGAGGTTTTGGGTCCATCTCGGCTGGCGAAGATGTTCTAAGACCAGTCTGTGAAATCAAACGTCCACTGGCCGTTGTAGCTGTACCCCGCCGCTCGATCTTGCTTGTCAGCAGGGTTGGATTGCTTGGGCCGGGCAGGGGGGCAGGCTGTCCCGCAAGCCTTCGTCTCAGCTGGGCACTCTGACCTGTTGGTTTCGCTCCAGCAACTTTCGCAGCTTTGCAGCCAGAGACGTGAGAGTCCATCTCCAGTTGGGTCACAGCCATGCCACAGTAAGGGCAATCCAATCTTTGAACTTGAATCTTCTTCTGGCAGCTCTTCCGATGGTGAGGCAGGGAATGAGCAAAGAATTTTCCCCCACACAAATCACACAACACATCCCGCGGCGGCATGGCTCAAACTTTGGGCAACAATAATATGGCCCACCTACTGTCGCGGGACTTGACATAGAATAGCGCACCAAACATACATGACCCAAATCGCCTTGACACAAGTCTCAATGACTTCAATGTTTGATCATTGCTTTGAATCCGTTTGAATCCTGCAGGGTGTCTTGCACGTGGTCAACTCAGTCCGCTCCACATCCATGTTGGACCCACCACCGGGCACTCCCACCCCACACCGCCCGTGCCCAACAGCCTGCGGTCCGTGGGCGCCCGGTGTCCTGCGCCCGCTGCGCCAGCGCGTCCTGCGCGCGCTGCGCAATCTCGTCGGTGGTGGAGTAGGGGCCCTCGGACATGGTGCCCGGTGGCACGGGCGGCGCCTCCTGCCGGTGCAGAATGCAGAGCCAACTGGTCAACCGCAGTAGTTGGCTGGTATACATAGGTGGGGCGGGGTGCGTGATGTCATGTTTGCAAGTATGTGAATTGCTTGTGTTTCATGTCACTCTCCGGCTGGGAGTGTTAGTTTGTGTGGCTCAGACTAAACCAACTGAACGCAACCGAGCCTCCATGTTCCCGTCACAATATCGTCAAGTATTACCAAATCCAAACCAGTCTGGGAACATGAACATAATTACACAAAACTGGCAGTGTCACTTGCATTGTCACTGCCACCTGTAGCTCTATTTGACCAAGAATCTCAAAGAATACCCCCGCAGCTATTCCAAACAACGATTTCAAGGCACTATCCGGAGAACACATCATCACCCACCCGTTGCACACATCACCCGACCGTCCTCCGACCCAACCGACCGTCTCCTGAAACTCCTCCGCCGTCCCTGGCGCCGCCTCCGCCGCCGCGGCTTCCTCGGCGCGACGCTGCTCCTCTGCCGCGGCCTCTTCGGCACGGCGCTGCTCCTCTTCCTGTTCATGGATCAATTGGGGGGGGGCACGCAGCGGCCGCCCCCAAACAAACAACAAACCCAAAAGACCTACCCCGGCGTCCAAAGGCCCTTGGCAACTCCATGTCAAAGCGTCAACTCCGTAAATTTCAATGTTGGCAGAAACGATGCAAGTATACTTTTCTATAGCCTCCAGCTGCTTGGGAACTGCACACCAGTTCCTGATGCCTGTGTCACACGTGCAAAAACAATGGCATACCAAATGTATGTCAGTATGTCATGAGAAGATCCGATGGTGATATCACATGTCAATCGCTGTATCACTGTTGCATTCATAGCCACATGAAAACATACCCAAACAAGGCGGTGGAGATAGAAAAAACGGCGTGGCCAAGCAGGGGACAAGGCCCGGATAAGGCGGTGATAAAAGGGCCCACAACGTGGACAAGCAGGACAGGCAGAACTGGACAAAGGACAAAATGTGGACAGCAGGACACCAGGGAACCACAGGGTTCGCAAACGTGGCCGACACTAAAAGCAGGACACTCGGAGGACTAGAGAAAGACACAGGGCTCGCCAGCACGGCCAAAGGACCGCAGCAGCAGGAGAACAACTAAAGGACAAGAGAAGGAGAAGAGGAGGACAAAAGGAAAACACAGGGTTGGCCAGCGCAGCCAGAGGACAACAACAGGACAAGAGAAGGAGAAGAGGAGGAGAGGAGGACAAGAGGAGGACGAGAGAAGGACAGGAGGAGAAGGACAAGAGGAGGACCAACAGCAGGACAAGAGGAGGACAAGACCCGGACACAGGGGCCGGACACAGAGTTTAGGGGCGCAGCCAGCCAGTGTGGCCAGCTCCTTTCTTTTCCTAAGAGAGAACCCCAACAGTGAACTGTTTGGGGATAAAGTGCAGAGTCCTACTTCTGATTACAGGTAATAAAATATACAAGCATCGACCCCAAACAGCTTCAAAAATGGATTTCTTGGTTCGCCCTACTTTCACCCCAAGAGCAAACTGCTTCATCAATGAATTTTTGTCGGCGTTGACATCGCTATTTGTTCGGCCACACTCCTCTCCAGTAAGCCGGGCCACAGAGACCAGCCACAGAGTTCAGGGGCGCGGCCAAGACAAGGACAAGACCCGGACACAGAGCCGGGCCACAGAGCCCAGGGGCGCGGCAAAGACAAGGACAAGAGGAGGACAAGGCCCAGCCACAGAGCCCAGCACAGAGGACAAGAGCCCAGCCTTCGTCCATAGCACACGAGCGCGCGCCCTGCTCTCTTTCTCTCTCTCTCTCTCTCTATCTCTCTCTCCCTCTCTCCAGTTTCTCTTTCTCTGTCTTTCTCCGCCTTTCTGGAGCGTGAGAGCGCCATCCATAGCACACGAGCGCGCGCGCTCGCCCTGCTGTCTTTCTTTTTTTCTTCTCTCTCTCTCTCTCTCTCTCTCTCTCTCTCTCTCCCTTCAAGTTTATCTTTCTCTTTCTTTCTCTCTGTAGAGCGCGCTCTGAGCGCGCCTTTCTGGAGCGTATGTCAGAGCGCGCGCCACAGAGCCCAGCCACACAGAGCCCAGCCACAGAGTTGACAGAGTTCAGGGGCGCGGCCAAGAGGACAAGAGGAGGACACAGAGTTGACTGAGTTCAGGGGCGCGGCCAAGAGGAGGACAAGAGGAGGACAATTGAGGAGGACAAGGCCTGTACACAGAGCCCAGCCACACAGCCCAGCCACAGAGTTGACAGAGCTCAGGGGCGCGGCCAAGAAGAGAACAAGAGGAGGACAAGGCCCGGACACAGAGCCCAGCCACAGAGTTGACAGAGTTCAGGGGCGTGGCCAAGAGGAGGACAAGGCCCAGCCACAGAGCCCAGCCAGAGAGTTGACAGAGTTCAGGGCCGCGCCCAAAACAAAGGACAAGAGGAGGACAAGGCCCAGCCACAGAGCCCAGCCACAGAGT